CCCCACTTTCAATTTAAACCCATGGGTTTTTTTTAAATATCAGTGGGGAAAACTAAAGACTTGTGTTCCAGCCTCTCTGTCCTGGCCCTGTGACTCCTCCTTTGGTTTGCATGGAATCACAGGCTTCTCTGAGAACTGCCAGACATGCCAGTCTGGCATGAGTAAGTGACTCTGCCCTGTGCTCTGAGCACCAGGTGACAGCAGGGAGTTGCTAACTGAGCTGCTTGGAAACACGCATTTTGAACACAACCCTTGTATTTCTGTTGCTGCGACTGATGTAAGAATAGGCTGCGAGATCAGTATATAGTGCTTTAATTGGCATGAACTCTGGATATGATTTGAGGGGTTTGCACTGAGATCAGATGTTTTCAATTCCCAGGTATATCGTATTTGCACACTACGCAGTAGCTATTTTGAAATCTGGGTCGTGCTTGTACTGAATTCTTTTCACTAGGCCTGCAGGTAAGGAGTGTGTGCTCCCTTCCAGAGCCTGAATGCTGGCTCCAGGGAGAATTGCCAAGTATGCTTGTGTTAACTGGGTGATCAGTCTTGGAAAAACACAAACACAAAGATCTTTCTGATATTTGAATTAACCTGGAGGGGCAGCACTGTGGTGAAAAAAGATCCTGATTCTTAAGCTGGTTTCATTCTTCAGCAAATCTAGACTCCAGCCAGACCTGGTTAGTCTCTCTTGAAATATGTTCAAAGCAATATGTGCAGGCTGAAACCGGTGCCTCTTGGTGTCTCTGTCTTTTTAAGGGCAGGGTCTGAGAGCCCTAAATCAAAAGGTAGAGGTCCCAAGGTAGTATCTCGCTCTTTGCTGTGTTGCTGTAGCCACATTGCTGTGCTGTATGCCACATTTCCCCCAGCCCTGTTAAAAATGAGAACTTCTTTGGCAATCTCTGAGTTTTCTTTCTCGAAAGCATAAAGAGCCTGGCAGTAGAGCTCATGCAGGAGGGTGTCTCGAACTGTGTTGGAGACTTACTAGAGGGATTGGGAACCTGGGGGACGGATGACTTCTGGAGGTGAAGAGTGATAGGTGTCTGTTAAACACCATCTGACAGATCCATGTCTAACTGGAAAAGGTACAGCTGTTGTGGTCAAATAACATCTTCAATCTGCTCTTCTGTAGAAGGTGGGTTAAACACAAAATCTTGCTGTAGGTTTAATGAAGGTTGTAGCCGTCCAAACAGTGTCCTGTTAACCTCTCTCTCCTAGTTGCCTGACCTTATGTTTATTCAGATTGGGTAGATCTCACGTGGTTGTAAATACCTGAGCTAGAGTCAGATAAACAAGTAAACTTGTAACACAAGTATAAAATGTGAATGTGTCAGTAAAAGTGCTTGTGTATATTTAACTGTCTCTCTCCTCATTCAAGTTGCAGGAGTTATTACAGCTGACTTTCTATCAGGATTATTTCACTGGGGAGCAGATACCTGGGGATCTGTGGAGCTACCCATAGTTGGAAAGGTTTGAGATTCTTATCCTTACACTTGAAAAAGTTACGAAATACTTCTCTGCGACACTTCCAGTATTCCCAGCTCTGTCGGACAGCGTAGATAAGCTGTATCTTTCTTGCGGTCTTGCCAACGTAACAAGCTCCCACACCCCCAGAACCCTCCTCCACTAAACGGCACGGTATGTTGCTGGTCAAGTGCCATGTTTGTGCTTGGCCTAGCTGACATGTACAAGGTGACACTGTTCTGTTTTATCGCCTTGTTTAAGGTTTGCGCACCGTTTTGCAATACCGGTGTTCACAGACCTTCCCGAGGTGCTGTGGGAATGGCCCGTGGCACCACAAGCATAGAAACCTGGCCAGGCTAGTGTAGATCTTCAGAAGGCTAATTAAGATAGATGTGGATAATTGTCCTGTAGCTAAACTCTCTAAAAGCAGCCCTGTGAGACAATAAATATTTCCAGTTCACTGTGCTACTGGCCCCTGTTGTAAATGAGTAGTATTAGAATGGTGATGAGTGAACATTCAGATTCCAGATGTTATACATCTGCAGCTACAGATGCAGATGCTTAGTGCAAGGTGCACTGACTTCTATGATTTTTTTTTTTTAAAAATAAACTTCAGAGCTACCATTAATCACTCCTCACAGTGCAATATTAGAAGGATCTCTTTTTTTTTTTTTTTTTAAAAAAAGAGCATATGGGATATTCCTTGTAGTTATCCAGAAATACATCAACTACGACAGCAGAACTAATTCTGTTGGATTTAGGCTTAATTTGGTTTACCTTCAATAGGCTTAGTAGTCCTTGCATCCCTGTATCTCTGGACCACAGTTCAAAACAGAAGGCGCTGCAGTAGACTCTGCACTAAGTAAACAAGAGTTCAGAGGGATCAGGACACCTTTGCATAGGCTGTACATGACATATGTGTTAAAGGCAAGTGACAGGTATTTATGAATTACACAGGCTTATTTTGACTGTGAAATTCGGCTGCTGATGCTTTGGGTTTAAGATCTAGAGATTAAGTCCTAAATGAAAATTAAGAACAACAATACTGAAAAGCAATGAAAAACTGGATTTGAGTGTGGTAACTGAATTGCTTGGCAAATGTGAATCAGATTATCTGAAGTATTGACATCAGGCAGGATTCAAGCTTTTGTATCTGCTTTGTACCTCTCAAACTCAGTCATCAGACTTGAATGCATGTGAGGGTGTTGTCTTTCCTGTGCCACGGTGTCATGTTTGTCAATTTGTTCTTTCAGGCTTTCATCAGACCCTTTAGAGAACATCATATTGACCCCACAGCAATTACCAGGCATGATTTTATAGAGACCAATGGAGACAACTGCTTTATGACACTAGTCCCGTTGGCAAACATGGCATACAAATTTGTTTCTTTTTCCCCAGGTAAGCTGTTACTTCTGAGTTTAGCATTTTTGTTGATATTTAACTGAATGTTTGTCTGTGTGAAGCTAGGAGAAATCAATGAAGGCGAGATGACAAGTAATAGCTGTTGGAAGCTTGATGCTCCTGGGAGGAGGGAGGGAAACTTTGTTTTTCTAGAAGGTGGGACTGTTGGATTCTCTAGCTCAACTGAGAATCTGTGGCTGAAGACTCTTGCAAGGAAGCGTTAGAAGTTATAGTAAACACCCTTTTTATAAGAAGGATCAAACTGTGTGCACGTAGGCCTCTAAAGTGTGTAAAAAATGCTTTATTTCTGTGTAGAATTACTTTATTTGCAAACTAGATGTTCAAGAATGAAAGGATTAGTTTAATTTTATAGGTGGTAAACTCCGAGTTGGAGTTGCTGTTTATGGTGAGTTGACAGACGTTGGCATTACCAGCCTGTCTTCTGAATTGCCTGTGGCTTCCTGGCTCTGGTGACACTTCTGCCAAAGCAGCTTCGTTGAGGCCTTTATTAGCTCCTGCAGCGCCAGGCAGCTCTGTCTGGGCAAGACATCATTTTCCTAGTAGAAATTTACCTTTTCATAAATGGTATTTAAAGATATACATCTTGTTTTGCAGAGGCATTATATGAAACATGTCCTTGGGAGTGTTATGTCTTTGCCCTTATCATCTTCATAACCATGACGAACCAGATTCACAAGTGGTCTCACACGTACTTTGGTCTTCCACGCTGGGTCATATTTCTACAGGACTGGCATGTTATCCTGCCACGGAAGCATCACAGGATCCATCATGTGTCTCCACACGAGACGTACTTCTGCATTACAACTGGTACTGCCATCTGGTTCATACTGCAAGCTCTCCTTAGCCTAGTGCAATTCGCCTGGCAAGATGTAATTTAGTGGCAGCCTGTTAAATGCCTAGAAAATAACGTGGTGTAGTTCATGTGCTTTCAGCTGCACGAGCTCTTAGCAGAACTATGGTTGGGTTTTTTTGGCATAAAAAAATGGGGGAGGGGGAAGATTAGTGATTGGCTAAAAGGTAACTTTCAGCTGGATGGGGTAGTTGGTGGTACTGAGATCCAATTGCATATCTGGTAATCTTGTGCTAGTAATGGATTTTGTTCATGTAAGTCTTAAAGCTGCTCTTCCTTCAGAAGAGCAAGTGGGCTTACCGTGAATGCCCATTGCTAAAGCAAGGCTTCTGGGTCTTCAGCATTCATTCATTCCGCTTTGGGGCGGAGGAGGGGACAGGTTTGCAGGAAACTGGCTTTAGGTTCCCCTCGTATCCGTGTTCAGTTTTATGCCTGCGGTGCAGGCGGGTGTACTCAGTCACTAGTGTTGCACGATCCTGAATAAATTCTCAAGCTAATCAGACAACTGGAAATAAACCACTCTGGTTCTTCATTCTGTCATTGGCTTCGGCAAACAGTTTGTTGGGTTTGAAATCTGCTGAGGAACAAATTGGTTCTCATGACCAGAATGTCATGTAAAAACACGGTACAATTAAGAAGCCTGACTTGACAGATGATGGCAAAACTCTTGCCACCCAGAGGGCTTTTTACAGTCCTACTGTGTCCTGAAAGTTTAAGCCTGACCACTATCAGCAGTCTTGAGCTAGTTGCTTTTCTTATTTAAAAAAGCATGTGCTTCTGTTCACTCCAGGCTTTCTGTAAGTGTTCATACCATGCCAGTCTGACACAACACGGCATGAGGGATTGTCTACTGGTATATTCCAGTGGGGCAAAGTGTTTCTGCAGCCCCAATTCTATTCTAGGGGAAGAGCAAGGGGGGAGTACAGAAATACGCAGTCAATGTGCTATTTAAGAGGCCTTTAACAAGTAAAACAGGACTAGTTACTGTAATGCACCCGTTAGTGACTGAAGAGTAGACAGCCAAGGCCAAGGAGTGTACTGGGTTTCAGAGGTGACCTGTGTAGTAAAGGTCCATCACTGTATCACTGCCAGGGAGGTGTCACATAACAGAGCCTTCTGGCATTCCCCATGTTAAGGCTTTGGGACTGAGTGCCGGTTTTAGACACCAGGGAGGAGTCATCCATTCCTTGAGGGGTAACGGCTGTGTTAATGAGAATTGCATGGGCTGACTTCCTAAAGGGCATCAGCACGCAGTGAGTTGCGTGGAGCCGCAGGATCGCGCGTGAGCTCGGAAAGGTCGTGTCCAGCTACAGAAGGCGGCTGGAAGCAGTGCCTGTTTCCATGGGTCACTAAAGCTGCAGTTCTGCCTGATTAGGAACGATCTAGCTTTCTAGAAATATGGTATTTTTCAGCAGTGAATATCCCGAACGCTCTCTCCCTGTAGTACTTCTGTCCCGTAATAGCCATGCGCATAGTCCAAGACGTCACCCACCAGAAGCTGGCTGTGTCACCACTGTAGGGACGGTGCTCAACCCTGGCAGAGCTGGCTCTGCAGCAGCTCTCCCGGGTTCCAGTCTTGCTCGTGCTATCCTGTGTCTTAGCTCTTTGCTCTAACCTGAACTGCTGCTGCTAGCTCCCTATTTCCATTGTGGTAACGGCTTCATTCCTGCCTCTTCTTTGGTTTTGTTTTCTTACGCTTTTTTGCCTTTTCCAGAAACATATATGGGGTAAAGTGTAATGTGTGCTTACAGAACTGTTCTGTAAGTGTGGGATCTAACCCTGTGAACATCAATCTCTTCCTGGGTGTGTGAAAACTTCTACAGGGAAATAACTTTTCCCAATGCTGATTTTTCATATGGTTTTCCTAGTTTTACAATATTTAATAAAACAGAAGCCTGAAGTTACTATATAATACATAGTAATAAAACCCCGTGAAATGGCCTCTTCATGCACTCTCCTGTCATTTATATTGAGTGTGGTGCGTTGGCCCTGGGCTGGAGGCCAGGTGCCCACAAAAGCTGCTGGTCACCCCCTCCTCAGTGGGGATGGGGAGAGAAAAATACATTGGAAGGCTAGTGGGTTGAGATAAGGACCAACGCAGGCTGCCCACGGGGTCACAGCCTCCTTCAGGCATCCCCCTGCTCTGGGGTGAGGTCCTCCCTGGACTGCAGGGGGGTCTCTGCTCCCCTGTGACCCTCCATGGCTGCAGGGCACAGCCAACCTCACCATGGGCTGCCAGGGAACCTCTGCTCCAGCTCCTGGAGCCCCTCCTGCCCCTCCTTCTCCACTGACCTGGGGGCCTGCGGGGCTGTTCCTCTTACATATTCCCACTCTTCTCCAGATGCAATTGTTCTTCACGGTTTCCCTCCCTCCTTCTCAAACCCATTACCCCAGAGGTGCTACCACCATCACTGATGGGCTCGGCCTTGTCCAACAGTCGGTCCAGCCATCTGACATTGGCTCTGTCCGACTTAGGAGAGGCTTCTGGGCACTTTTCCC